GGTGCAAACCTCTTCTTTCCTTGCCATTGTCCCCTTATCCATACAGGATAATACCCACTTACATATATTTACATGACATTAGGTATGATAAGTCATCTAAATACATCTAGGATGCATGTAGGAAATATGTCAATATTGTGCCATTTTGTAAAGAGGACTTGAGAAGCCTCAGGCTTTCTATGGGGGCTCCAGGAACCCAACCCCTGCAGGTACTGAGGGACAGTTGACGTCCCTCTTCCTTTCCTTGCTTGATGAGCCCTCATTTGCTGATGGAGATTTTGCACAGATGTCCCCGCTGTGTGGCAGAGGGGGCCTTTCCTTCCCTGCACTTCCAAAGCATCCTTCTCCTTGCTCATCCCTAGACCATGCAGCTCTGTGGGACAGAGGGCTCTTTAGGACTCTTTTCATCCTACAATGAGGGCTCCTGATGGTTCAGTAGTCTCTAACTTGCTTTCATCTTCGTCGATCCCAGCTCAGAAACTGGCCCAGAGAAGATGCTCAGAAAATGTGGGTTGATATTGAACTGCTATTCACAATCATGTTAACTCATGTGTACATTAGGAAAGAGTGACGTGCAGTGGAGGGGGAGGGGATGGTTCAAGGATACAAGCTAATAAAATCAAGGTTATCCTGGGAATATTAAAGGCCTATAGTTGTTTTTTTTTTTTTCTGAAGAACACTTCGGGGTTAAGAAATTCAACTAGAATTTTCTAAAACATAATGAGTTTAGGCTTTCATTTTGGTGTGGATGTTATGACATCGATGTTACAGAATGAGTATAACAAGTTGTGGGTTTCAGGTATAAAATCTTCATGTGATGAGAAATGAAGAAATCTCACTTCTCCACGTCATGCTACTGTACTATGCCATGACATGAGATAGTACCCAAGAACACTCCTGGCCACATCCTCCAAACTGGGTAAAGCTGAGGAGTGGCACACCCTAGCCCACACCTTTTGCCAACTCTCTAATTAATTGTCTTGTGATTCTTCTAGAAAAATGATGGGGAATCTGATTTACTGTGTTGGAGGAGACAAAAGTTTTATTCTTCTCTGTTCCTGGGAGAATGTATTGCCTGTACCTCCCTACTGTAGAGAGATTAGCTCATTTGAAGTTAGTGGAATTACAACATAGTGAAGGCGAGGTGCTTTGACTTCTGGTCACAGTAGATTGCAACAACAAAAAAATCTCTTGCCAGGAAAACACCTCCAGGTCCCTTGCTTGAGTGGTTATGTGTGTCAGATTTACATGACAGACAAGAATGAGAATTGTGAAACATTTGCCCCCTAAGATGCTTCAATGCTGTACACATGCACACACTTCCTGAGTAGGGCACTATTGGGTGCCAGGGCCTTCCGTACCTCCCTGGGGTGTTCTTCCCTACTAAGTGATGCTGGTAGGAAACTGTGTCAGGTTACAGCAGGGTGCCTGGCCAGCATGAGCCTCTCTTCTGGTGTCATGTTCATGATACAAAAGCAACGGAAAGGGACCCTGTGGACATTCGTGTAAAATTCATTCATTTATTATTCCTGCAACAAAGCTTTGCTTTCAGTCATTTCTAATTAGAGATGTTTGTTAATTGCTCATGTAGTGAACTAAAGATGAGTTTTTGCCCGAGTGGTTTACTTCTTGCCCGATAAATGATGTGTGCATGATTTCAGAGGGAAGTGTTTAGTACATTCACAAAAAAAGCACTATTTCTCAAACTTGTGAATATCAGTTTTCAAATGATAAAAAAAAAATCAAAATCCAAGAGGGATGTAAGAAACAAGGGCTTATCTAATAATAGTGCACATTAACAGGACCTTTGCTGTGTTGGGTACTGTGCAAACACATTGTATGGTCATGTCAGTTAAACCTCTCAGCAGGTTTAAGGGAGCATGTTCTGTTATCATTCCCACTTTTATAAATGGGAGAGCAAAGGCATCCAGAGGTTTAGTTAATCAAGATTACACAGCTAATCACTGTGGTCCAGGGTGTATTTCAGGTAATCTGATACAAATAAGGAAGGAAGAAGGGTCTCAACTCTATAACTAAGATTGCTTAATTATGTAAAATGAAATTTTCTGGGTAAAGGGTGTTTTGGTGTCCTTTATTCTCCACATCTGTCTATACTATAACTTCACAGCACACCCCATCTGAAGCACCTTTTGCATAGAATTAAAGAGTTTCCAGGGGTAAAATAACCAGTATAAAAGATACCTGTTACTGATTTTCTACTTTCAGTGTTTGAGAAAGGCCCACTTGCTTGAGTTGTGTATATGTCTTTTCTTTACAAAACTGTTCCCATTCAGATTCTTAATTTAATCTAACTTTTGCCCTTGTTATTTTATATTTGGAAATCTTACTTCCATATAGTCTGGTTAAAGAAAAATTAGGCCAAAGTATTAATGATGAAAATTTGTAGCAATACACCTTAGCTAGTGGCCCCCAGAGATATCCATATTTTAATTATTGGAACGTGTGCTGAGATCTTCTCTCACGAGGCAAGAGGGACACTGCCAATGAACCTAAATTAGAATCTGGAGATAGGGAGGTTGGACTGGATTATCCAGGGGGCTTTCAGTAATCATGGGATTCTCATGAGAGAGAGGGAGGGGAATTGAAGTTAGAGGAGATGTGGTTAGGGGAGCAGGGTGATGTGACCACAAGTCAGAAAATTTAAGCAGCCTCTAGAAACCAGAAAAAGTGAGGAAGAGATTTCCCTGGGACTCCCGAGAAGGAACCCAGCCTCGCCTTGGGAAAGTGATTTTGGGTTTCTGACTTCTGGACGTAGAAGGTGATAAGTGTGTGTTCTAAACAACTTACATTGGTGGTCGTTTCTTCCAGCAGTCAGGACATGAACACAGGCTCGTGCCCGAGAATGGACCATTCAGGGCATGTCAGGGACAAGAAGACCCCTCCCATCATAGACCACTGGGCTCACCAAGAATATGGGCAGGGTGGGAGTTAAGTAATCCTGCATGGGCACTGGTTTGCAAGCCGCCGGCCTGCCGTACACCCTGGCACCACCATTTATGAGCTGTGTGATCTTGAGTAACTGGACCTCTGTCTGCCTTTGTTCTCCCATTTATAAAAATGAGCATGACAACAGAACTTGCCTTGTAAACTTGCTATGAGGTTTACCTGACATAATCCACACAAGTGTTTGCACAGAACCTTGGCACATAGTAAAGGTGCTGTAAACATGGACTATTATTAGATAACTCCTCAGCTATGCAAAGGCTTTACAGAGAAAGAGAGAGAGAGAGAGAGAGAGAGAGAGAGAGAG